ATTCAGCGCATCGTAAAATACTAGAATCAATCGATTCTGAGTACAAAAAGTATGTAAATAAAAATGGGCCAAATTCTTATGAAATGGGGATTCATCCTTTCTTTTCTGTCTCTTTTTAACACAGTAGCAGATGTAACTGCAAAAAGTAGGGAAAAGATTGATCTTCACAAGTATACGATAGCAAAAGCGAAAGAGAAGAAATATTGTGAGTTGTCCGTGAAAATCTCACTTGTCTTTCAAGTTATCAACCTGAATCTAATGATACTAACAAACACAAATTTTAGGGACAAGCACCCCTTGAAAGAGCTTTTGTATGGCAGGTGGATGCTCATTACACCATGGTTTACTCGGATTTGCTTTGAGAATATGATGTAATCAGTTGAACCCAGTATTACTGTACGTATCAAAAAGCCGTGTTCCTGGCTATTTCGCGAATAACTTTTGACAAAAGGGTGTCAGAGACTTGTGGTTCCCAGTTTTTGAATTTAGACACTTGAAGACGTCTTTTGTCACGTAGAAACTCCTTTCATCAGAAGCTGGAAACCTGGTTTTCCAGAGGATCTTCGGAAAACTACTCTGTAGTTTCGAAACTTTTTATAGAATTTTTCGTTTTTTCTTACATGAGGCTGTACATCTAAGTGTCATCTTTTCAAATCCGAAAGAATCAAGTCTCTATCACTCAAGGTTTCGGAGTTACAGGCGTTTTCCGAGGACAGGTCTGTCTCGTTTTGGTCAACTTGGTCTAAATCAAAAATACATCAGGCCTAGCTAATCGAGCATTCTGATCGCCGTGGCAATGTTTGTTTTCGTGTGGAAATTAAAATAAGGTTAAAGGTCAGAAAATGAAAAAAAGCTGAAAACCGGTTTTTGACCTTTTGCCTGTACTTTTCTATCGTCTTTTTTTATATTATATTTGAGATAATGGAAGAAACAGAATTCTATCTTACAGATACAGTCAAAAAACAATGTTCAATTAAAAGCGAGATTTACATTTCTGTTTGTTGGTCTCTTGTGTTTTATTGAGTAAAAGAACAAAGTGCTACAGAAAACATTTTTTGGAGCCTCTGCACAGGAAAAAGGATAAAGTTAGACCATGAAAATGAGTTTTCGTTTTTGTTTCGCATTTTGGAATTTTTATTCCGCATCTGAGCACCTGGCAACTCTGCTTAAAATGTTACTTATGGTCTCTGGTATCACTCTCTCTTCAGATTTTGTAGAACAATGAGCCGAAATCAGATGAAAACTTTAACATAGATATTGATGATGAGTGGGATCAATTTCAACATCAACCTTTAGGTATTGTCGTTGTTTATTCTCCATTACATTATCTTATTTATTTATTTTTTCGGTTTTAAAGTCTGATTCATCTGTTGATGAACCATTTTATCCTCCTGCCCCTGTCTCCCTTCGTCAATTTCATAAATCTCTGCTGCACTTCTGCAACAGCTGCCATCTTGAAGAATTGAATGTTACGAAATTCTTAAAATTAATCTCATCTGCTCGACCTGCTTCTCACAAATTAGTAACAAACCATTCAAAACTGGTCAATATGTTTATTGAAGAACAGTCTGTTTAAGAGATAATACGATGCTCTACGTGTTTCATGGTTATCGATAATAATAATCATTGTTCAATGGATTGTCAACAAAACAGAAGTAATCGAAAAACGAGTAATGTAGTCGAGCACGTAACAACAACGAATGATACTCAACTGATTAAATAATTCGTCGAAATCATTGTCTGATTCATTTGTACCCTCGTATTGTTAATCAACTAGCACCAAGTGATATCTTAACTCGATCTGCTTATCAAGAAAGTTTAAGAAAAAACAATTGTGCCAATGTTGGTCGACCACATCCTACCACTTTGATGATGCACATAGACGGGGCTCCTATTGTACGTTGGATTAAAAAGCAGACGTGGCCTGTTACTGCCTCTGTTTGTGAAATCCACCTTATCTAAGAGAAAATCAAAACAATATTCTTCTATTAGGCATCTGGTAATTTTTTGTACTTCACTGTTTCTTTCTTTTATATTACTTTAAGTGAGGAGATAGTCTAAAAAGATGTGCTTGAGAAAATTTTTAAGGAATATTCTTTCACTAAATAATTTCTTTTCCAACTACTTGGATAGGGTTTGCTTCCTTTTCTTACGATTCTAAATGGTTCAGGGTTATGGGTTATAATTTTATCTTATTATTTCATTGTTATCTTATGTTAACGTTTACAGAGTTTTTCTATATCAGTGATTTTTAGATGAGTATATTTCATTAATAAAAATGTAGTAAAATTGACTTTTTATCAGTTCTCCCTATCTGTTTAGTTTGTTTTTCGTTTTTCGGATGATTCATGAATAAAAACATGAGATGTATCGATAGTCGTAGAGATAGTAGAACAAAATTTCCGCCATCAATGTTTTAAAAACGTGATCAATACTTCGACTGTTTTGATTGTTTCAGGAATGGTCCAATCAAGCAACCGATCGATCTTCTACTCTCAGAAATACTGCAATCATTGAAAAAGACGATTAGAATTGATGATGATGATTACATAATTGATGTTCAGTTATTTTAAGCTGATAGTCCTGCCCGATCATTTGCATTGAAGCACAACCAACGTAACGAATATTATGCGTGCATTGAATGTACTCTATAAGGTATTTATAATATAGATGAAAGTATAATGATGTATCCTTATAATCAACAACAACAATGTCAATCGAGAACATTAGCATATATCTCAGTTTGTGTTGATCTGGCCGTCAGAGAGAGACAAGCTAATATAATGGGAGTTCAAGGAGTCAGCCCCTTGTCTCGCTGTTCGATATTCCGTGACAGATAGACATTGACATTATGCATTTAGTTTTTACTGGACATTGTTCTTCATTGTTGACGAAATAGAAAAAAATTGTTAGTGGTCAAGCATTGCGAGAGGCTACAACAATATTAAGAAATATAAAATGGCCACATAATTTCAACACAGAATTGACTTCTCTTTCGGAAAAAAGCTACTGGAAGGCGCATGACTATCTTTCATTTTTTTTATATTTTATGTTTCTCTCTCTATCACGTTCCACGGAACACGGCAACTTACTTTCCAGATATCTCGTGGTCTTGAGAGCTCTAGGTGCCTTGCCGAAGAAGAAACTTTAACACTGGAAAATATTTTAAACGATGAAAAATTGTTGGTAGATACTTTTTTTGATGATCGAATTGTAGAAAACTACTGTCATGAATTTCATCATTCATTAGATAATGTTATCGGTGTTAATGACAGTGTAGATATTCATGTCTATGCGCGCGCTTCTCGTGGTTTAGCAATATTTCATTCTCTCTCTTACATTAAATTTTTTTCATTTTCACATGTGGGTTATAAAATAGAGTCGATCATAGTAAGTTAAAAGAGACGCTCACACTTAAAGTGGGCAAAAAAAGTTTGGCACACTGATAATTGTTTAGATTTCTTCGTCAAGCACAGTTTATTGAAGATATCCAAATAGTGATTCCAGTAGCTCTCAGAGCGGCCTATAAAACTGAGGTGTTAACATTTCTTTGAGCATAACTATTTTAGTTTTTATTACATCAAAGAATTTTCTCGCCTATTATTCTAATTATTTTCTTACGTGTTTCTTTTTAGGCTCAGTATGGGCGATATATGGTATACATTAATTACATGCCAAAATACATAGCATGGCTAATCTTTTCTGTTGCTGTATTTGGAATTATGGTCATTTATTAACTTCGATGGATCTTTAAATTTGCAATGGAACATCGAGACATGTATGGCATCAAAGTCGAACATATTGACAGGCAAATATTTGTTTTAAAATATCAACGAATTTATCGTCTTCATCTTCTTCTTGCAACAATGTTTCTTACATATTATACTGGACTGATTCTTGATTCAATAACAAAACCTCCACTGGGTACACTTATTTCTATTATTTCATCTCTCATTATTGATAGAAATACACATTTGATACCGTGCATTTGGTATTGGTGGAATAAACGTTTATTCAAGACAGATGATGCATATAAAGAACTTCACAAGTATAGATATATCGGGATTTTGATAATAGAACCGTAGCAAATAAGCAATGTTAACATTACTTATTTGTTACGGCTCTAATGTTCGCTATTATGCAACTATTTGTTGTTTTATTATTCTTTTTTGCTATAGTTAATAAAATTAAATATTAAAAAACTTATCTTCTATACAATAGTAGCCGTTGATTGAATAGTAAGAAAAACATTGCTGAAACATTGCTGAAACTTTTCTCATTCATCACGTGAACCATCGAAGGTGTTCTCTACAAACTGGCCAAAGTAAAGGGCATGTTTGGAGGGAGGACACCGCCCTTAAGTAGATATCGATCAGGTTTCTTTTGATTTGAGCACTGTTTCTAACAGATATCAATCGAAGTGAATTATTTATGTTTATACTGCTTTTCTCCGTTCGTGATTATAGTATGACATTCTGGTTAAATTTGACTAAGTTGTTTTTTTTATCTATTTTTCTGCTTAATATACGTCAACCATTTTTCTATGAAGTAGACATGCCCCTTTCCCCCCTTAAGTCTTTTGCACTTCCGTTTGTGATGCTACAAATTGTGGAACAATTCCTTCTCAAAGAAATTACATTTCTCTTGAAAAAGAAATCCATTTCTACTAGACACTGTTCTTAGAGTGGAAAAGGAAGGTAACCAATATCTGCTTATATATTTTGGACTTCTTCTTGTAAACGTAGAAATGTACTAGGCGTTTGTTTCTTATATAAGCATCAGTTAAGAATCTTATAAGAAAGTTATAAGTGCCCAACAGGATTCACGTAAGAATCTTACCTGATTCTTATCAAATTTGTAAAAAAAACCTCTTGTACTATTATTTAAATGCAGGAAATCGAGCGTGTATTAGATTAAGAACATTAGTAATAAAGTAAATTGTACCAGCAAGACCTAAGAGAATTATACTTTTGTATTTATTATTGTAAGATTAATAAATATTAACCTTTAAATAATGAATATGGATGATCAAGTGTTCTTGATAAATTATGTTTTCCATAATCCAAACAATGTTCACAAAACTATAAAGCATAATTGAAAAAAAATTTATTTTTATGAAAAAACTAAATTTAATAGCTCGATAGAACCATTTTAAATCATTTTTTGCACGATCTAGATCAAGAAAAACATAGCCATTATCAGCTGTACCATGATCAAATCCATATCCTTTTCTTAAAAGTCCTCGTTCCCAAACAATATCATCAACAGATAAAGCAAGATCTAAATATGAATTATTCCTTGTCACCTAACAGTTAAAACATATTAACAAACTAATCCTCACTCCAGTAATTTATATAGTACTTTCGAAGTAATAAAGTTTATTAAAATAATACTGAAGTTACTTTATAGGCACGAACAAATAAATAAACAAAACCAGATGCACCATGACACCGTTGTACAAGTTCGTCTAATTTACTATCAGTTGACGATAAATAATTTCTACTTGGTAATCGTTTTGATTTTAAAAATTCAACAGTTGATATTAAATGTGAATTAATATATGATCGAAGATTAGAAAATGATTCATCGTGTGTAATCTTGAGAAGAAGATAAATTATTTCAGAAATATCATGTGCTGCTCCCATATATTTTATATCATACCATTTATACATTGGAATGGAAATTTTGAACCTGTTTCATTTGCATATTTTTCACCTGATTTTGCTATTACTTCAAATACTGATTTTGGGATTGTCGATCGGAATGGAGTTGTCCAAAAATTAAAGGGATTTTAGTGAATAAATGTATCTGATGTCATCTGGTATTGAATACTGTTTCGTTGATTATTTTTACTCGAAAAAGCAAGTGAGCTGATTTCTAACCTTACGCGTTTCGGTTCTTTTCTCGACGCTTTGTAAAACTACATTTTTAAATGCTAAGTTTCCTTTGCAACACTTCATTCAGAAAAAATTCAACACATCACTAAAATGTTCTGATAAGAGTAAGACATGCTAAAAGAATTTATTTGCTGTTGTCTAAAATAACTACCTCTTACTAGAATTAAATACATGGAAAAGTACTCATGTAAAACACTGTCTAAGTGTTCTTCTTTAAAAAACGTTCAAGTTACTTTTTATTGATTTTCTCAAGCATTTCTTGCAAACCGTTTGAAGGAAGATCGAGCCTCACATTTCGACAGTTACGTAAATATTTTAAGTAATGTTTAGTTTCTGAAATTTTCGCGTCGGGCGTTAAGGATTTTTTCCTTGAAAGCCTAAAAAGCCTCAATTTTTTAGTTTCGTAAACTTTTGTCACCTTTCCTCTATATTAAATTTTTTTTTGGATTCATAGACTGATAGAAGAAGGTCTGCTCTTCAAAATGAGATGTCTTGCAGAATTTTCTGATGAGTTTTGGTGGAGATATAAGCATCACCGCAAATGCCCTCGAAAACAGAGCCCTGTGTAAGGCGCCAGTGATTCAAAGTTACAGCACTTTTTTTAACTTAAACACATCTCTAGATTTAGTTTTAGCTGCTGAACACAAATATGTACTTATTTTCTCGTTTCGACAAAGTTTTTACGGAGAAAAACGCAAAATATTGAGAACCACTCAAAATCCGGAAAAAGCTGACTTATGGAAAAACAACGTTTAATTCTTTACCATTGCATTTTTCGTTCTCATCAATATGATTTTCGGATTCCTCATAAGAAAATGAGTCTAGACATGTGGTTTAGAGCCTTACCAAATATAGAAAACGCATAATTCAAGAAATTCAGATTTTCTAGAAATTAAAAAAGCGTGTAGAAAATCGTGTATTATTTTCGATAAGGTATTTTCTACTTTACAGTGTAGTAATGAGACTGTACTGTTTAATAACGAGCCAGTATACTAGCATTGGTGTTGTTATTAGTGATTTGTTGAACAATTCAATTCATCAAAATTCTGAATAAAAAGTTGAAATGAGGTAAGTACAAAGCTGCTCTGGATGCTATCATTTCTCTACTCAAATTTTTTCCCGTTACCAAAGTCATTTCTATAAAGATTTGTCTGTTCTGCAAAGAAGAGAAAATTAAAAGACAATATGAACTTGTGTACAACAGTACATAGAGGCAAGAACGCTGTTGATTACTTGAACTTGAATAATTCTTTATCGCGAGTTGTAGGAACACACAGAACGATCGCAACGGATACAGTGGTAGATCGAATTCGAAAAACTACCGTTTCAGAAACGCAGCGCAGGTAAACGAAAAGGGAAATAGTATAACAACGATTTATTTATTTATAACTAAAAGCTACCAGATCAAGTTAAATCTGACAAAAAAGTACGCGAATTTTACTTGTTTTAATCAATACATTGTATCACTTTTGTCCAATCACTTGCTCAGTTTTTGTCCCTCTGTTGTTACGCAGACAACAGGTTTTCGACTGACGGTTGTGGGTCCGAGACACGGTGATTTTTCAATTTTTCTCAGCTTTTATTTTCTTATTAAACTTTTAATCAAGCAATGTACAGGGCATAAAATGAAATATAAAAATATCAATCTGTCAACGGTGCTTTGTTGCTGTAGGGAACGTTTCGACTAGTTGTGTTTGTTCATGTTTACGAATAGCCTACAACACAGACGTAGTCCAGATCATTCTAAGGAAGTATCCGCACATGCTTACTTTCATTTCAAGTACTTTTTGAAATGCATCCGTACCAGTATCATTCATAAATCTTAAATAACTTTGATGAATCATGTGGTATTAAAACAATTTTTAATATCATTGCAGCTTTCTTCATTCCTTTTAGAACAAGATTTGTAAAACTAAATAAAGAAAACAATGATGAACGTTAATATGAGAGCGAATAGCTACTCATGTCACGTTTATTAACGCGTAAGAATTTTAAAACTGTAGAGATATTAACAGCAGCTATTTTTAATTTCATTATTTAATTTTTATTGAAATTCGACATTTCGAAAATATAATTTCATTTTCAAGAAAGAAATAGATAAACAGACTATAAGGTGTGTGTAATGCAAAAGTTTAGTAAAAATTTTTTTTGACATGTTATGCACCATTCGATAGAGGATTTCAAGCTGATTTAGAGAAAATAGTTTTTAATTCTTAATTTTCGCCATCAGAGCTCAACTTTTGAGCAATAAAAATATCATATTCGGAATCAGGATCAAAAACTAAGTCGACTGGTGTGTATTTATATCCTATCCGACTACTTCAACTTTTTTCGAATTTTCACGTTGAAAAATTCCCGAGATTTTCAGCCAAAACTGCTCAACTCAGTTTTTGATCCTGATTCCGAATATGATATTTTTATTGCTCAAAAGTTGAGTTTTGATGACGTAAATTGCGAATTAAAAAATACATTCTCTTAATCAACTTGAAATTCTCTGTCGAATGGTGCATAGTATGCCACAAAAAAATTTTACTAAACTTTTGCATTACGCGCATCTTACTATAACATTATAATCAAAAATGTAAGTTCTAGTAATATATACACGTGTTTATCTAAGAAATTCTAGAGAGTGCAAGGAATAAAAGAAACGACCATGCCTAGATATTTGTGAAAGCAAACAAGTTATAATATTGAAGCGGACGAGGATGTAACTATTCAACAGTTAATATATCTGCTTTCACAAATATCTAGGCATGGTCGTTTCTTTTATTCCTTTCACTCTCTAGAATTTTATAGATAACCACACATATATATTAGTAGAACGACATTTTTGATTGTAATCTTATAGTATAGTCTGTTTATCTATTGTTTTCTTAAAAATGAAAATTGTATTTTCGAAATGTCCAACTTTCAATAAAAATTAAATAATGGAATTAAAAATAGCTGCTGTTATTATCTCTACAGTTTTAAGATAGCTCACTCTTGAGATGATTGACGAGAAATAGTTAGCTCTGTACTTGGCAGCTGCAGCAAGAATACTTTTAATAAGTGAGTATCCGGAAACAATTGTTCAACGCTAGTCACCTTTATTGATTTATAGCGATATAAATAACTGATAAATTTTAGAATAAATGAGCTTAAAAGAAGAAGAGATGTGGTATGTAACAGTTTCTTTATTTCAAGACATACCTGACTAAAGCGATGCAAAACTCTGTAAAACAGTGTCGGGATGAACCAAGATGATCACGAACATTGAGCACAATTTTTTGCACTTGATACATAATTGTCGTCACATACGTACTCTGTTCTTCAACAGTCTCGAGTGTTTGCCATGAGAACTTGAAATAAAAATAACTAGTGGCACATACAGAGAGAGCTATTTAATAAAACCACCTTCGTCATAGAGATCAACACTGGTTCACATACATTTTCCAAATTTTAAATTAATAGCTGAATACAGTGTGAGATTGTTCTATGGTAAAAGACTGATGAGAATGTACATGTTTACAAGAGGGCATTGTTAATTACCTTTTATAAACATTTCTTTCCGCTTCAAAATTGATTTTTTATATTAAAGTTCTTGTAACCGTTCTGATCATGCGTTCTTCCAGCTAAAAGCTCAAAAATAAATCAGGATGAGTGCGAACCCAAATGAGCATTCTGTAGAAGTTTTAGTGCAGTTACCTGTTGAATTTTGCCCAAACAATCTTCTGCTGTGTACATAATTGAGCATACTCGACATATATTTGTTCCATTGAAATTTGATATCCTCTCAGCTGATTCTGGATTTAACGCACATGTATTTGTCCTAAAACGGAGACAAAAAAAACTTTTTATATTGATATAAAAAATAGTATTTAGATTATTTTGATATGAATGTAGAACAAATTGTTAATAATATAATATGTTATACTTTGTATTCGTACAATTCTACAATATATTTTTAACAGCTAAACGTTTGACACTTACTAACGTCTACTACCAAAACCTTTAACTATTGAAAAAATTTATTAAAATTGTATGAGTACAAAGTGTAATCAATATATATATTATATTATTTAAAAACTTTCCCCCAGGGACCGAATAAATTTAGTTAAGCTATTACTTTGGTAAATGGCTATTTAAAACACGATTAGCATATGTTCGTAAATGTTTTTTAAATGTTTGAACAAGAAGTAGTAACGGATGACTACTACTTAATTTTGAACATTGTTCAAGACAATTGCGCAAATAAAAAAATAAATCAGCACTGCTGGACAACACATTGTTTGAATCCTTGCCACCTTCAAGCGATGAATAACCATGTTTTTTCAGATCATCAACATAATTTTGAACTTGTTTTGCCAGATTCCTGCTCATAATAAACACAAAAAGTAGATTTATTTGGAATATATATTAAAACCTTCACTTATCGATTCTTTCTTGTGCTTCTTTTCTTTGATGGTATAAATTACGTGTTTTTTTTGCTCGTTCAATTCTTTTTTGGTGGATCACCAGCTTGTTCATCATTTTCTTCTAATTTTTCGACATGTTCAATGAATAGTGGATCGAGAGGTGGATCAGAAGTGATAATTTTATCCAATGAATCATGATTTTCATACGTAACAATAGCCACCGTTCGTTCTAACGTTTGACAATAAATGTACTGACATTTTAATTTTCCCAAAATAATTAAACCACTCTTGTACAATATCACTCGAAAATATCACTACATAGTGGTGCAAAAATAATTTTGATTTGATACGAGATGATGCATTGAATCAGTTTGAAGTTGCTGTGTATCATGAGTTGCATTTTTAGCGGATGATTTTTCGTAATGCAGAACGGTCGCTGAAAGTGATCATCGAGCAATTTCAATAAAAAAAAGTTGGGTATATGAACACATGCCAATCCGGTAAAATTGCCGTGATTATCCAGCATCATATTTTCTTTTGGCTTCGGATATTTACGCCGTGTAAACATTTCCACAATTTGTCTAACACGACAATTCCAATGTAAATTGCAAATGAACAAATTAAAATCAAGTTTTCGTTTTCGTTTTGTGCCCCGTTTTCTTTCTGTTGTCACTTCAGGTACTTTCTCAAGCGTATCATACGCGAGAAATTCTTTATTATAATCGTGTTTCATCTGAAAAGAAAAATTTACCTTCGGCTCATCGGGAGCGTAGTCATGTTCATTTGCTGTTGTTTGGTATTCTGGTACGTCATGTACATCCTCGAGCGCATCACGCGCGAGAAAGTCTTCATCACGAGTGTAATCTTCTACCTCGATTACTTCTCTAAAACAGGCAAATCTGCTGTATTATCATTTTTGTGGGAACGGCTTATTTCTTACCCATTTTATTCTGCTGCATAAGTACAGTTTTGCTGCCAATTATCTAAATCTTGTTCACATTCACTTACTGTTGTTGTTGAGGTGGAATTCAACGAAAATAAAATTTTTGTAATTCTAATAACTGTTCATCTTTAATCAAATGTTGATTTTCTTTTATCAGTACTTTTTCAATATTAGAACGAGAATGATATGTAGAGAAAAAGAAAAAAGATTTGTTTTTTACCTGCATGATTCGATTAAATAAGTCAAAGTACGAATTGGTAATACAAGCCTAGCTGGCATGAAATAGAGGATTAAAAAAAGGGGAAAAAATGAAGAATTTAGTTACTTTACGTGCCTTTCCGAAATTCCAACCGATTTTGATAGATTATAACGCCATAAATGGGCACGTTCAAATATTTTTTTTTTGGCTGTCAGTGAGCGTGTGTTTGTGCATATTTAAGATATGAACACATTTATTCTTGTAGCGTCGTGGCTGATGCATCTATAAGAAAAAGAATAAGCATTATATTGATGGTGTATAAACATAGTCCTACTTGGGTCAATCGTTTTGTGGTTTCAGCTTTAATTTTTGACTGTAATACAATTGATTCGTCTGAATTGTCAACTGCTTCAACAAGTTTTTGATGCACATCGATAAGAAAGTGCGGATCTAGTTGTGCGTATAACAGTGCACAAGGCTCATACGGTCTAAAATAAAGATAAAACTTTAATCAATCGCCATCACACAGATGTTGCAAATAAAACAATATTTACCGTTGTGACCAGTCATATCTTTGATATTTTTTTTTAAATACAACACATCAATACCACAATATCTTTGTAATAAATCTGAATATTTGGATGTTTCTTTCAAGCATTTAGCGAATGCTTGTGTATCAAAAATGTTGTTGAATTTAAATCCAAAATCCAAATATAAATGTTTGGCAGCTTGTCTGCAGTCATGTATGATCCGAAAAAATATGATGAAAGTCATATTTGCGCGATCTAGCAATTAGCTCTCGTACTTTTAAAATATTATTGTCACTTGTTACATCGTTTAAACCGGAAATTGTTATTGCATCAATGTCAGCTGTGAAAACGACAAAATCCATTTCTCTTGTTGATATTTGTAATAACACCGCTGATGACTCAGATGTGGTCAACTCTTGCTAAAAAAAACCGCAGTCAGTTTCTGTATTACTCAAAAAATGAGAATATTACTTCCGAGTCAAATCCAATAACACTTTCATCACGTAATTGTTTGACCATTTCGTAAAAACTGGTTTCATTGTAAATGTATATAGGCGGTAGTAGTGATATATTCATTACTATTCTAAAACAAACAGAGAAAAATAGCTGACATCCAATTTACACTTCTACAACGAGTTCAATTGTCACTTCGCTCATAACTGTCAGTCTGGAGATCAAAAATTCTCTTTTTTCACCTAAAAAATCCTGCGTTTCGTCTGATAAAATCTCATGTTTTTACATCTTTCACACGAGAACAAGCAGAGAAAATTTTCAGGTGTTTTAGATAACACTCCCAAGATCATTTTCTTTCTCGTAAAATGTCGCATCATTTTTTCAAAGTTTCTTTCATGATCCGTTAATATTTCTAAAATAACTTTTTATAAATGAAAAAATTTGCATTTTCGTTTCAACATTAACTCTCGTTGAATAGATGAACACTTACTTTTGATACGTACAAAAGAGCAAGTGTACAGCTACACATTAAAACGTTTTTCGCAAACATCGACCTTTCTGAAATTTTACAATGAAGTTTTCAAAATTTGGCGAGAAAAGTCTTTAAAAAACTATTTTTCACTTGAAATTTGGATGAAACTTAACTCAGCCTCATCCAATGAAAGTTAATATTGAAACGAAAACGCAAATTTTTTAATTTATAAAAGTTATTTTAGAAATATTAGCGGATCATGGGAAACACTTTGAAAAAATGATGCGACATTTTGCGAGAAAGAAAATGATCTTGGGAGTTTGATCTAAAACACTTAAAAATTCTCTGTACTTGCCAGATATAAAGACATGAGATTTTATCAGACGAAACGAGGGAGTTTTCCACATTTTTTCACTGGGTTTTTCAGAAAAACAAATTTGCAATCTTATTACGATAATGTGTTACTTGGGTTTAACCTTTGTTCTCTTCATTTTCAAAAGAGGCAAATTACACAATTTAACAAAAAAATATTTCTGCCCAACTTAAAAAGGATGTGTCAAAAAATAACATGTTTATGGTTTGAACCAAAATTATTTTTCAGAATACACCAGTTTCGTTACTAAAGGTATTTTAAATGAGCAATTTTCATATGTTTAGTTGCATTGTTCTAGAAACTTTATTTGTGAAATAAACCAAGAATTACTTTATCTACCATAAACTCATCCGATGTCTGATGGTTTATCAATGTAAACATGCCCAACTTTTGTGTTGGAAGGAGGTTAATGAATGGAAGTAAAATTGATAGTATACTCACAAAGATACGTAATATTTATATATTCATAAAATAAAATGAGAAGCTGCAATTAAATACAAAACCACAATTATATATATATGTACACCCATATCAAGTATCTAGGTGAAAAGTAAGGTGATTCAGCAAAAATGGGGAGAAACACTGCAGTATTGATCTTTTGTTTTTTTGCCAGGGTTGGATAACGCTCATCGAGTCACCCTAGAAAAAACTCAGTGCTATTAGGAAGCCATTTTTTGGCGAAAAAATTTTCAAATATTAATTTTTACAAAAAAATCGGCAAAATCGAGAAAAGTTTTTAATGATAAGCAAAATTTTCATATTTGATCGTCTTTTAAAATTCCAAAACCATTTTTCTTCTTTTCCATTGAAACCTGAATCTAGAAAGGTAATTCTGAAAATTTTAGAACGTAAAATGGACGCAGAATCTGCAAAACACGAGCGCATGGTAATGGAGCTGTCCGACAGTTTTGTAAAACCTATCCAGTCCTAGCATTTAGGAGAAAAATTCTTTGTTTTCATTCTGATCGCCATACTAGACAATACAAAAAAGATACGTATCTGTTTTTAAAAATTTTGTTTCGTTGTCGAGAAATTCAATTTTTTCCAAAACAGTACACTTGGCCTCTATGTTGCTGTTTTCTCCATCAAAATTCGACTTTTCGGCAGAAATAATGATATTTTTGGGATGAGCATTAAAAATTAAATTGAAACATGTGTATTTTGGAACTTTTAGGCTAGTCCGTATTTTTTCGGTTTTTTTCCATTTTCTTAAAAAGTGAAAACTCAGAATTCACTTCAAATCCAATTATCTAAAAATTCCAAAATTCACATGTTTCAATTCAGTTTTCAATGCTGATTCCAAAAATATCATTATTTGCGTCCAAAAGTCGAATTTTGATAGATAAAACAGCAAAACAAGGGGCCAATTTCACTGTTTTGGAACAAATTGAATATTAACTATAATGGAATTTTTCCGCTAGTATTTTACAGAATAACGCTTATATCAAATAATGAAGTAAATCATATAAAATAATGATCCACATTATTTATTTATAACGAGTATCACATTATACATTGGAAAAAGAATGACACCGAAAATGGTAACCAATTATATGCGATTGCGGCATTTTTCTAATTGAAGTTGATGTGTCTAGAATGAAACGAATGAAAAATACAAACGGTTTACTGTTTTAACTAAAACTAGAAAATAAAGGCACAAACTCACACAATCAGTTTATTAACTGTTCCTAAGATGCATGCAGAAAGATATGTAAAGCAACCGCACATCTTCTATCTTAATCCTCTTCCGAGCGATTTTTCGAAAAACGATCGTGTAAATTCAGTTCATCTATGTCAAATTTCTTCAGCTATGTCTCAAAAGAGATACTTGTTTTTTGCAAACTTGTTTTTTTGCAAACTCGCACTCAGTTTCACCTCCCCCTCTGATGTTGTTTGATCTTGCAAAGTCAATTAGGACAACTTTGTATCTCTTTTGAGAAGTTTCGATGTCTCCCACTAAAACTGCATTTCAATTACTTAAACTTTGTCAGCTTATATAAACTTCTTATTCTAAAAAGATTCAATCGGATTGCTATTTTCGTTTAAAAAAAGCGTGTGGAAAAGGTTCATGCCCGAACTTCGCACACTTTTAATAAAAAGTGACTATATCTATATCCCAAACTCCACACATAATTACATGAATTCGAAATGTACGTGATCTCAATTTCCGCACACTTTTTAATTAGCAAGTAAAACATGAACTGTAAGAAATAGAAAAATATATCATTATGTCATATATTCTTAATTTGATTGTGATATTTCGTCTATATAGCGATAAGCTACTGCCCGTACACTCGACATATATTCTTCAAGACTCATTTCATCCAGTTCATACGCTTCTTCATTTATACACAATTTAAATGCTTGATTCTCAGTTGATACATGTTATTTCTTGCTTGGCTTTTGTCCGGTTAATTCTTGTTGATATCTCATATGTGCTAGGACTTGTTTGAATGAATTAATATCGCAGCGCTACACTCCTTGTTGATGCAGCGCTACACTCCTTGTTGATACAGCGCCATGATACTGAACCTTTTTTATTATTTCTGATGTGACGATATCGATGTGTATTATAAATGCAAACTTGTGAACCACGCTGACCGGTTTCAATTTCACATTTCATTCCGTAAAATATTTGTGAGTACATATGTATTTTTGTGCAGAGAATATACACCCATTTAGGAATTATTTGATTACTCATTTCTGATATTAGCTGTCCCAATTTCTGCAACAGTTTCCCAGAATTTCTTGATTTTTAATCATTTGTCGTATCAGTCATCATTTATATTATTTACACAACATTAGAACTTTACCGTGCAGCGTATCTTTATCTTTTCTGTATGTCGGACATAAGGATACATACAGAAAGGAAAGGACAATCTGCATGTCATCATACAGATATCTGCATGCGACATACAGAAAAGATAAAGATACGCTGCACGCTAAAGTTCTATTTAAATTATGTTCAAATAAAGAAGCGTAGCAGTATCTTTTTGCTATACGGACGAAATATCTCAATCAAATTAAGAATATATGAAGGAGTATATGTATTTTTCTATTTCTTATTCTAATCAAATTAAGACTATATGATATAATGATATATTTTTCTATTTCTTACAGCCCATGTTTTACTTGCTAATTAAAAAGTGTGCGGAGTTTGAGATCACTTACATTTCGAATTTATGTAATTACGTGCGGAGTTTGGGAAGTAACGGTGGAAAATTAGTTATACATCTATCCCTTTGATAATATAAGCAACTGATCAAAAGAAGAGTAATCGGTTTTTTTCGCTGAATATTAGCAGACCTCATCAAATGTATGAAACACGCTCATAACTTCATTTTAAAAAAAGATGGACACTGATAACTAATAATCTACAGATATTCAAGCAAAACAAACCACAACAAATCAAGAATTTCTACTGTAAAACATGAAAATATATGGCCAAAATAGGCATTGTGCCTACTGATTTAAATAATTACAGAATGTACTGTTTTCTGCTCTAGCTTTTGTATTTGAATTCCATAAAAAGCAAACTTCTTTTGTATATACTTGTATCATCAAAAAATAAAACATTGATTCAGACTTTAGTTCAACTGCCTCACCGTTTGAATAACTGTGAATAAATTTCACAGTAAAGAAAAATAAGTAAAACGTATTTGTATACCATCAATTTCGACACAAAAATACGAGTTCTTATTTGATTCTTTGATCTCATCATAAATTCGCATACCGCTAAACTCTTCTTTGGCTGTTATTGTTTTCATCAAATGATCACTTTCATCGTCAGTTTCTTTGTTTTCATCTGAAAATGATTCAGTGCTACTTCTATCGTTGCCACTATCATTTTTACCATCTTCTTCATCTTCAGATTCTTCCTCCTCAGTATCAATATTTGAATAATCTGTTCTTCTTGAATTATTTGCAAAATATTCATTTACATATAAACTTAATTCATTTATATTTTTGACATTTTAAGTTTATTAATTAATAGTTTCGTATCATTATATGCATTAAATATTATTATTTCGATTTTTTCTATTGTTAACTCATTAATATCATCATCACTACATTTAGACGAATTTAATTGATCGAAGCTCCTATTTTTGTGATGGATAGGGAATTTAACAGAATAATCATTGTTATCGCCACTCACTTCTTCTTGAGATTTTATACTATTTAAAATAGATATTTTTTCTGCTTTTTTTATAAACTGTTTAACACTAAAATTTGTGATGGATAAAAATGTACCAGTAACAGCTCGTGCGTCTCTAGATATGGATTCACAGCTTTGCGAACTAAATAGATAAATATGTAAAGCATGTCGTGGAAGTTGTTGATTTAAGACAAGTAATACAATAAATGTTAAACAGTGAATATTTAGTTCAATGGAAAAATATATAGCTTTTGTAATAAGATATTTCTGCTTATTAATTTTCATTGATAAATCGGTATTACCAAATTTATTTAACTGTATCCAGGCCCACCAAAATCGACACAAAAAAGCAGACATCAAAAAGTAAACGATCTCGCCAGGGATCGAACCTGGAATCTCCCGCTCCGTAGGCGGGCGCCTTAGCCGTTGGGCCACGAGACCATGCTCTTCTAAATCTGATCTTTCGCTCTTATCCTTAACTGTAAAATAAAAGAGTACAGAAAATAAACATGTTTCACTAAGGGAGCAGTTCAAAATTCTTTACTGTCGTACTTCCTACTTAACTCCTTTTTTTCTTCTTTACTCTTTTACTCCTTTCCTTCTTTAGTGTTTCGCGATCAGTATCGTAATATATGTATTAGTTTTGTCCTATATGTAGCATGTTTACTTAGTATCCACGAAAGTTGAAAGAAACATAAGAGGAAGAAGTCATGTAAGTATAGATACTAGCGTGAATCGTCAACAGCAGCATATCTGATGAAGTAAAAACTCACGATTTTTTTACTTGAGTTTCGGATCCATATTCTCTTGTTGAGATTTGTACGTCATAAATTAAGGGCCCCCCGGGTCAAAAAAAGCAATTTTCGTCAAAAATATCATTTTGGAGATTTATACATAGTTAGATAGCCCATCATCTGTACTTTCGAATGCACTATGACTTATTGGTTTTATGAGGGTTTTTCATG